TCTCTCTCTCTCTCTCTCTCTCTCTCTCTCTCTCTCTCTCTCTCTCCGTCTCTTTTCTCGCCTCTCTTCATCTTTGTGTTCAAATTTGTGTAGTTACCTCAAGCCTGAGCATTGCATCATTATGATTTGAAGTACCATATTCCCCGAAACGTAACACATCCAGATAATGAATGCATGAAGCTATCTTTCCAGTCCTGCACGGTGATAATGAGGGTGCATTTTGTATGGTTATAACAGTTTTTTTTTTTTTTTTTTTTTTTTTTTAAATAACAATAAACAGCGCCTTATGGTCCTGGCTCCATCTCCATTACGGGGAGCATCAGTCCGGTTCCTTTTCCCTCGGCAAGTCGTAAAATACAACAATTCTCACACACACGCTTCCTTCCGTCCGGCCAAACCCCTCACCAGCATTGATTACTCCAAACAACTGGAGGATTGACTGTCAGCTTGGCATTCCTCAAGGAATCCTCTCAGCTACTGTTAACCCTTGCTGCCAATTTTGACCTGTGAAAAGATGAAAACCAGATTCCACAAGGACGGGCTGCTGAAAACATCCAATCCTCCAACCTGTAATGTACACCCTTCTGTACAATATTTGGTTCATTGTTAGCACTCAAAACTTCAAAAGTTTAGAAATTTTTGAACATTTTGGAAATTTTGAAAATTTGGAAAGAGTATTTGCTTAAATGAAGTTAAATCAAGAAATAGTCCAAATTTGAAATTATGAAAGGATTCACCCGCTGCAGACACCCAGTCCCAGTCGCAGTCCCAAGGTCCTAACAAGTCCCAAGTCCCAGGGCCGTCCGTAGGGTAGGTCGTAGGGCTCTAAGGTCAAAGCGTCGTAGGTCTGTAGAAGTCGGAACCGAAGCGTCGTAGTGGATCATTTCAATTACAAAAAAAAATAAAACAAAATGAAATTGTGAAAATTAAAAATTTTGGAAATTTTAGAAATTGAAAAAGTTTCGAATGGACCTGTGTTCAGGGAAATTATTGGCCGACCTCATCTGCGAGTATCTGGAATGGTGTGAGCTGGACCACACATTGAAGGTCTACCTGCCAGAGGGCAAGCTGGTGAGGAATAGCTGGCACTGCTCTGCTGCTTTTTTTTGTTTTTTTTTTGTGTCTGTTTTGTTTTCTTTTTGAATAGCTGGCACTGCTCTACTGTCGAACTCCAGAAACTTGTTCCCCCCCCCCCCACTCCCCCTTCTGTACTCTTATCGTTTTTATTACTTTTTAAGATTTTAATCATTTTTTGCTCAGAAAAAAAAAGTGGGTTCTAGTGTCTGGTTTGCATGGTGAAGGCATACTGAAAGTTTCGAACTCCGACTTTTCCTTTTCGGCTGATTTTCTGGACATAATGGACCTCACTCCACTGCCACTGCAGAACATTCCAAATGTATCTGTGAGGAGCTGAAATTTGGCAGTTTGTAACTCACCCTCTGCGGAGAAGGACGTTCGTGACTTTCTCATAGACGTAGGACAGGGCATCATCGGTGCTGTGGTTGAGTGTGGTCATGGCGAGGAGAGTTGCATACCTGCAATCCCTCTGGATCTGGTGTATTCTAACATCTCCATAATCTCGATGGTGTGGCGGCTAGCGTGCTGCTAATGCCGCCTGTTGGCATGCTCCTTGCCATATACCCCAACTGTTACCCCTTTGGTCATTTAACTCCGACGTTCCTGGTCACAATTTCTGCGTTTTTTGAACAGAAATCAGCAGGGCTTACCAGGTTGCCGCAGTAGGACCTGACGATTTCGGTTAAAAAAATGCCGAAACTGTGGCCAGGAACGTCAAAGTCAAATGCCCAAGGGGGTATTATACCGTGAAATCCTCAAACACACAAGGGCACTCACAGTGATTGCCCCCGCCCCCATTCCGTTTCTGACTTCGTCGAAATTGTGTGCTGACTCTGCTGAATTGAAGCTTAGCAACATGATGTCTTGCAGAGTATGTTCAAATGTCAAGCAATGGGTGTTGTGTTATCAAGCCATCAGCAAATAAATAAGCTGCATTCTAAGCTCCAACAAAAATGGTGCAAGATTCCTGACATCTGTCTCCGATGCATGCCCACCAGCCAAAAGGCAATTTGCAAAACCAAGGATTTAGATGACCAAATGGATCTTTCTTCTACTTGGTCTGCTCCGATACGAAACTGATGCATGCCTACCAGCAGATACATGTGTGTGTGTGTGTGTGCGTGCGTGTGTGTGTGTGTGCGTGTGTGTGTGTGTGTGTGTGTGTGTGTGTGTGTGTGTGTGTTGT